ACTTTTAATTCCAGACTCATGAGGCAGAGGCAGACAAATCTCTGTGTTTGAGGCCAGCCTGGTCTACAGAGCAAATTCCAGGAAAGCCAGGGGTACACAGAGAAACCCTGTCCTGAAAACCCCCCAAAATAAATAATTTTAAAATTGCAAATAGGGTTGTGTGAGATAGGTTAGTGGGTAAAGGAATATCACACCAAGCTTCATGACCCAAGCTCAAACTCCAAGACACACAGAGCGCAGGAGAGAACTGACAACCTTGCTGTCCTCTTCTCTACACACGAAAGCGACTCCAGCTAGATATGGTGGTTCAGGCTTGTAATTACAGTATCCAGGAAGTTGAGATAAGAGGACCAGGAGTTCAAGGCCAGCCTAGACTACATAGTGAGTTTGAGGCCAGCCTGGGCTACATGAGACTATGTCATAAGAGAACAAGGAGAATACTCAGACTGCCTGCAGTAATGCATGTCTGCAATCCCAGATCCTTGGGAGACTTGAAGGACTGTTTAAGCCCAGCAGTTCCAGACCAGCCTGGACCACACAGACCCATTGTGTATATGTTTGTGGGGAGGCCCCATTGTGTGTATGTTTGTGGGGGGGGCATGGGGCACGGGGCAGGGCAGTGAGATGAATGAGTGAGAAAAGGCCACCAAGCTTAATGACCAGAATTTGATCCAAGACTCACATGGTGACAGGAGAGGATTCCTGAAAGTTGTCCTCTGACTTCTATACAAGCATGTTTGAGCTAGAACATACGCATTGGTGCACAGGCACACGAGTGCTCACATGTGCACACACACAAACATACACACAAATGCAATTTAAAAGTAAAGAACTCGCCGGGCGGTGGTGGCGCATGGCTTTAATCCCAGCACTCGGGAGGCAGAGGCAGGCGGATCTCTGTGAGTTCGAGGCCGGGCTGGACCGATAGCCTCTGAAACAATACAGAGAAACCCTGTCTCGTAAAAAAAAAAAAAAAAAAAAAAAAAAAGTAAAGAACTCATATACATATAAAATGAATACATATTAAGATATATTAACTCAGCCAGGCATTGGTGGTGCACCCCTTTAATTCCAGAACTAGGGAGGCAGAGGCAGGCAGATCTCTGTGAGTTCGAGGTCAGAGCAAGTTCCAGGACAGGCTCCAAAGCCACAGAGAAACCCTGTCTTGAAAAAAAACAAAAAAACAAAAAAAAGATGTATTAACTCGGGCCAGGAGGTCATGGTGCATGCCTTAATTCTAGCACTGGGGAGACAAAGGCAGGGACATCTCTGTGAGTTAAATTAGCCTGTTCTACAGAGCACTCAGGTTCCAGGACAGTCAGGGCTGCACAAAGAAACCCTGTCTCAAAAAAATGTGTTAACTAGTTAACCAAGAGGATAAGAGTCAAGTCTGACTTAAAAACTTTATTTAATATTCCTACATGTGTATGGAAGCATTTGGATCAAATCCAATCTCTATTCCTTCACCTCTTCTATCCCTCCAACATTCTCCCAACTTTATGTGGTCTTTCCCTTTCTCATTTTTGATAATTTTGAAGACTGGATAACTTACAGACATTCACAGAAAGATGTTAAAATGATTTTTTTTGGTTAGATAAAGTGGTTAATGGCTATTGGAAAATAAACCAAATTCTCCAAGGTTATCTTCTTTATTGGACAGATCTTCAAGTTAACATATAAATGCACAATACCTAGGCTCTACTAAAACCATAAATAGCAAATTTAAGCAGTCATTTCATAGAAGACTAAGGTTGGGGTTTAGGTCAGTTCTAGAGTGCTGGGTTCAGTCTTCAGCTCCAGAAAAAAAATCCCTAGTGAAACTTCTAAGTAACGTTCTAGAACAATAACAAAACTACAGACCAGGGAGCTGGAGAGATGGCTCAGAGGTTAAGAGCTCTGGCTGTTCTTCCAGATGTCCTGATTTCAATTCCCAGTAACCACATGGTGGCTCACAAACATCTATAATGATATTTGATGCCTTCTTCTGGCCTGCAGCTATACACACATGCAGGCAGAACACTGTATACATACATAATAAATAAACCTTTAAAAAAACAAAAAATTACAGACCAATTTTCATGAACATATATGTAGCAATTTTCAATAAAATACCTCAAAAGTTGGTAAGATCACCAACATAACCAAGTTGGCTTCATCTCAGGGATGCAAGATTGGTTTAATACATGCAGATCAATAAATGTAATATAATACATAAATGGATAGAAATCACATGTCCAGTTCAGTACAGACATGGCCTTTGATGAAGTCCAACATTTCTTCATGTTAAGCCCTAAAGAGACTAGAAATAAAGGAAATTACCACAACACCACAAAGAAACACGTCACTGTTGCAACTTGCAATATAGAGTGTGCTTACTGTCTGCCTTTGGCTTTTCACTTGCTGAAGTAAATACTGGCTATTTGCTCAAATGAAAAAAATAAAATAAAGGCACATATGACAAGTCTATAATCAATATAATCCTACATGGGGAAATTTTTAAAGCATTTCTTCTAAATCAGGAATGAGACAAGAGCACCTACAGTTGTTTTTTTTGTTTGTTTGTTTGTTCTTTAACTCTTTCGCTCTTTTGGGGGCCTACCACCCAGCTCCCAAATAAGTTACACGGATATGTATTCTTACTTATGAATGATCGGCCTTAGCTTGGCTTATTTCTCTCCAGCTTTCTTAACTTAAATTATCCTGTCTATCTTTTGCCTCTGGGCTTTTACCTTTCTCCATTTCTGCATACCTTTCTTTCCTTCTCACTTCTTAGCTTGCTGTGTAGCTGCATGACTGGCCCCTAATGTCCTCCTTTCCTTTTCTTTCTCCCCATCTTCTCCTCCCAGAGTTCTCCTCTTTATTCTCTCTGCCTGCCAGCCCCGCCTACCCTTTCTCCTGCCTTGCTATTGGCCATTCAGCTCTTTATTAGAACAATCAGGTGTTTTAGGCAGGCAAAGAAACACAGCTTCACAGAGTTGAACAAATACAATGAAAAAGAATACAACACATCTTTGCATCATTAAACAAATGTTCCACAGGATAAACAAATGTAACACATCTGAAAGTATTCTACAACAAGCACCTACTCTTTTTGAAATTTCAACTAATGCAGTGAATAAATAAAAAAAGAACAAATAGGAAAGTGTGCTGGTTTGTTCTTTTTTGTCAACTTGACCCAAGCTAGGATGACCTGAGACCAGGGAACCTCAACTAAGAAAATGCCTTGATTAGATTGCCCTGTAGGCAAATCAGTGGAGCTTTTCTTGATGAATGATTGATGTGTGAGGGCCCATCCCAGTATCCCGGCAGGTGTCCCGGATTGTATAAGAAATGAAGCTAATGGTGGTTCACACATTTAGTCCCAGCACTGCCAGAGGCAGGCAGATCTCTGAGTTCAAGGTCAGTCTCGTCCACAGTGTGAGATCCAGCACAGCCAGGGCTATACAGAGAAGGGGAGTGGGGAAAATGTATAGCTCAATTAAAAAATGGCAAAAAATAAATTCCAAAAAATCTAACAAACTCCAAAAGGGTCAAAGATTTAATGCAAGACCCAAAACTCTGACACTGCTGAGGGAAAACACAGTAGATATAGGTGTAGGCAAGGACTTTGTGGAAAGGACTCCAAGAGCATAGGGAATAATCCTAAACTTTGACAAGGGTTCTGTACAGAAAAGGAAACAATCAGCAACAAAGAGATAACATACAGAATGGGAGGAATGTGCTGGAGATGCGGCTCAATGGTGAAGAACACACTTTGCTCTTGCAGAGGACCAGAGCTGCTGTTTCCAGCACCGACAGTGGCTGGCTCATTGTAAGGGAAGCTGATGCCCTTTTCTGGAATCCTCAAGCACATGTACACGCACACACACATACACACACACACACACACTCTCTCTCTCTCTCTCTCTCACACACTCTCTCTCTCTCTCTCTCTCTCTCTCTCTCTCACACACACACACACACACACACACACACACATACAATTTTTTTTTTTTTTGGTTTTTCGAGACAGGGTTTCTCTGTGGCTTTGGAGGCTGTCCTGGAACTCGCTTGGTAGTCCAGGCTGGCCTCGAACTCACAGAGATCCGCCTGCCTCTGCCTCCCGAGTGCTGGGATTAAAGGCGTGCGCCACCAACGCCTGGCCCACACACACAATTTTTAAGAAATTGTTTTTGCCAACTTGACAGAACCTAGAGTTACCTGGGAGGAGGAAACATCAGTTGGGGAATTGCATCCATCATACTGGCCTGTGGGCATGTCTGTGGGGCATTTTCTGCATTGGTGATTAATATGGTAGGATGCAGCCCACTGTGTGTGGTGTCATCCCTGGGCAGGTGGCCCGGGGCTGTGTAAGAAAGCAGGCTGAGCAAGCCAGGAGAAATAAGCCAGGAAGAGGTATTTCTACCCTGACTTCCCTTCATGATGGACTGTAAACTGTAAGATGAAATAAACCTTTTCCTTCCCAAGTTGTTTTTGGTTAGTGTTTTATCATAGCAACAGAAAGCAAACTAGGACAAAAAATTAAAAAGAATGAGCTAATGTTTGTCAACTACATATTATACAACTAAAAGTCTATCATCTATCTATAAAAGAACATAAAGTACTCACAAAATTAATTACGAACTCCCACCCCCAAACCATCCAATCAATAAATGGCCAACAAAAATACTGAATAAACAGTTCTCAGAAGAGGAAATACTAATGGCTGGTAACTAACTGAGCAGTGTTCGATCTGTGGTTATCAGAGAAAAGCATAGTGAGCTGCTTCGTGACCCCAGTCAGAATGCCTATCAGGAAAGCAAGTAAATACTATCAAGTTTGTAAAGGAGGAGCCCTATGCACTAGTAGTGGGAATGAAAACTACAATAGCCACTGTGGAAATCTGTATGAAGTCTCAGGAAGAAAATCTAAAACAGGACTACCAAATGATCAAGCTATAGCCCTCCTGGGGGAAAGACTCGAATGATTCTAAATCAACAACTACAGACATATGCAACACATTCATGTTTACAGCGGCTGTATTCACAACGGTTGGACATGGAAACAGCCTAGATATCCATCAATACAGAAGTTGGTAAAGGAAATGTATACATACATACAATGCAATTTTATTTAGCCTTAAAGAAATGAAATCATGATATTAACAGGAAATGTAGAGAAAGGGAAATCATTATGTTATATAAAATAAATCAAGTTCAGAAAGACAAACACTGCATTTTCTCTCCTATACAAAGATCTAGGGGTTTTCTTGTTGTTTGTCCAGACAAGGTTTCTCTGTGTGGCCCTGGCTGACCTGAAACTCACTCTGTAGACTAGGTTGGCCTCGAAGTCACAGAGATCCACCTGCCTCTGCCTCCTGAGTGCTGGGACTAAAGACATGCACAACCACCACTACCTGACCAAAATCTAAGTTTTTATATGGGTATGGATGTGTTGGGGGGGGTGTAGACTAGAAAGGGCACCATTCGAAGGGAGGAAGGAACTTTAATGGGTGCAGAAGGTAATGGAACACATGGGACATGAAAGCAGAAGGAGATGGCTCAGGAAGAAGGGGATCAGCTAGAAGACAAGGGGGACACAGGGGAGGGGGTGGGGAACAGAGGAAATTGATGCCATAATAAAGCACGCTGCTTTGTCTGCTAACTTACACAAATCAGAAACACCCCAAGCCCTGGCAAACAAAACACCAGATTGAAGGAAAGAAAAAAGGAAGGAAAAGAAAAATGGTAAGACTTAACACTCACAGTTACAGCTTTATTCAATGACTAATCGTTTTCTTGTAGAAAACATATGATTTCTATCCATCAGATAATATTCTAGTAAGAACAAACACATCTGCATATGGTGGCCTTGTTAAATGGAGATCACTGTACATCTCAACTATGCAGGTCTGGACAGGCAGCCTAGTGCTTACTCATTGTGGGTAACTTCCCACGGTTATAAACCAGCCTCTCACAGGAAGCGGTTCTGCGTTTCACGGTAACTTTAGTAGACATTTCCTGATCATGGATGGACAGAATTGCTTTGTCTGTCATGCTGCATGCACTTATAACTGTGCGGCATTTTGCAGGTGTTCTGTCTACCCCAGAGTTAAATACACAGAGACATAATGAACACAGGTTAATTTCAATCTTGCCAAACTGTAATTATTCACTTTCTCAAATTTTTCTATGTCCTGTCTCTTTACTACACCCCCCTTCCCCCTTTGCTTCATCTAGATTTCTACAAAAACACTTGTAGCATTCCAGGGCCACGCACAGGCCCCTTTCTGCTGAGGGAAAGCCTTCCTTGCTATGTCAGCCTTCACGGAAAACCTGATTCTAATCTTGTTCCTGAGTAATAGTATTCAAATATCTTTTTACAAGTTTTTGAGCTACCTTCCTTTTAGAATGCCCACTTAAAGGGCATTTCTATACTGTTTGTTGTTGTTTCTCATAGGCTTACACGGCACACGTGAGTGTCTTGCTTTTATATGCACTTCGTGTTTACAGATTTTCTAGGGCCAGTCCTTGTTCTTTGTGGAGACAGACATGGAGCAGCAGGTCTCAGAACTCATCAGCTGACTCGGTGTCCCAGCTGCAGGACAACAGCTGTTCATCCTGAGGGAACTCAACTTCGACATCATACACAAAACTGGGGTCATCCTTTCTCTTCTGATTTTTCTCAAAGAGTTCATCCATGATGCTCTTCCTTTTGGCAAGCTCCTTGTCATCTAGTTTGTTCAGGTCTTCCTCGGGGTCAATGGTTGTTTCCCGTTGAATTTGTTCCATTGTTTCTGCCAAGCTCTGCCCCTGCAAGTAGCCTCGTAAAAAAATGAACAGCTTCTCCAGCTGCTTCAGGGACACCTGTTCTAGGTAACTCTTGTGCCGTGGGTTATTCTTTAACTGTTCAGCAGCTCTGGTGCAATCTAGGAGGGAGAAAAGTGTATATATAGCACACATATCATACCTATCATAAACTACTGTAAGGCTGAAAATAGACCAAAACCCTGAGATCACTAGCTTCAAGATAGCCAAATGGCTAAAGGGGTTTATTGAAATCAATTATTACTCTTTAGAAGTATACTTCTATAGTAAACTGAGTTTTGTGGGGTGTATTCATATGTAGCAGTTTATTTATTTATTTATTTCTAAGATTAAAACATACCAACCTGGTAAGAGGGAAGGGAAAGAGAAGAGGATGGGGAAACTGTGGTAGGGATGTAAAATAAATATATTAAATTAAAAAAATTCCATCCTATAGGATAGCCCCTTCAGACAAAAAGTAAACAGTCCAGAACAACTCCAGGAAGTCCCTAAAGCTGAGCAGACTCACTGGGTCACTTCCTTCCCTAGAGTGCCTTTCTCAGAGGAGCCAAGCCACACAAAGACTCCTGAGAGCAGCCAAACAGCCTGAAAGAAACAAAACCCAGAGGAGCTGCACAAAAGAGGCTCAGACAAACTGACTCAGCTAAAAAGAACATTCTCCTACCTGTTGGGCTACCTGTGGGCTGCACAGTGTGCTTCAGGTTCCCAGCTTTTGTGAGCTGTCACTCATGCTGGGGTGGGTGTTGGTGATGCAGCTGTCTTTAACTCATTTCTGCTCCTGTAAGTAACCCCACTAAAGCTGAGTGGTTCACCAAACTGAACTTTAATGGTATTCACACTTTGGTCTGCCATGGGCTTCCTATCTGAGATAAATATACATAAATATGTTGTGTCTCCCTAGGAAAAGTTTGTCACACAACATACACATACCTGTAATCCTAGCATTCGGAAGAAATGGGAAGATAGAATGTTTGAGGTTAGCCTGGACTACTTAACTAGATCCTGCCTTATAAACAAAACTCACAACAGGCTGGGTATGTGGTTCATGTTTATAATTGCTTCTCATCCCAGTATTAGAGAGGCAAAGCATGAGGATAATCATGAGTTCATGCCAGCTGAGGTGACATAGAGAGATCCTGCCTCAAAAAAAAAAAAAAACAAAAAAAACAAAATAGCTGGTTGGTGGTATCACATGCTTTTAATCTCATGCCTTTAATTTTGCATGTATGAGTGTTTGAATGCATGTGTGTGTGCCATGTGTGTGCAGTGCCAGCAGAGGCCACAAGAGGACATCAGATCACCTGGAACTGGAGTTAGAAGATGGCTGTGAGCCACCAGGTGGGTGCTGGGAACAGATCCCAGGTCCTTTGCAAGAGCAGTAGGTGCTTTTAATTGCGGAACCATCTCTCTAGCTCCCAAAATAAAACATTTTAAATAAATAAACAAATAAACAAACCTAGCTTTGGTGTAAAAAGACACATAGAGATTTTTTCTTTTCTTTTTTACTTTCTTAACCAAAAATTACTTTGCAGGATGTTAAAAACTTTTGACCGAAGAAACTGTCTAATGATGAAAATGCCATAATTTTTATTTATTTTAGAGACTGAGTCTCTAAATATGTAGCCTTGCTGGCCTAGAGATAACTATGTAGACCAGGTTTGACTTCAAACTCACAGAAATCCACCTGCCTCTGCTTCCCAAGTGCTGGGATAAAGGTGTGCATGCCTGGCACAAAAATGGCATAGTTTTTAAAAGGCAGCCATGTGACACTGGCTACAAGTGTACTGTCTACAAGTAAAAAACATTTGGAGAATGAGAGAGAAAATGAAATTTAGTATTATTAAATAGTAGTACATCATTTAACTCATATAACTATCCTAAAATATTAAAATGCCAATTCTTTAACTGTGCTAAAACACCATGACCAAAAAGCAAGTTGGGGAGGAAAGGGTTTATTTGGCTTATACGTCCATGTCAAAATCCATGACTGAAAAAAGTCAGGACAGGAACTCAAACAGGGCAGGAACTTGAAGGCAGCAGCTGGTGCAGAGGCCATGGAGGGGTGCTGCTTACTGGCTTGCTCCCCCTGGCTTGCTCAACCTGCATTCTTATTCCACCAGCTCAGGGGTTGCACCACCCACAGTGGGCTGGGCCCTCCCACATCAATCATCAATCAAGAAAATGCACCACAGGTTTGTCTACAGACCAATCTATTGGGGAGCATTTTCTCAATTGACATTCCCTCTTCCTAAATGACTCTAGTTTGTGTCAGACTGACATAAAAATATCAGCACAGAAATTGAAGTTTATGAACAATAAGTGATTCCACCAAAATAATAATTTAGTCCCTGATGGAGTGATGATTTAAGCCTGAGTTTAACTCTGAAGAAGTGCTCATTCCATTGCATGAAGCTAAATATCCCCCTCCTTTCCCTCTCAGTGGGGGCTGCATCCGGGACCCTGCACATGTCAGGTAAGTGCTCTACCACTGATGGATGTTCCCTTCACAACCCACAACCCACCTTTTTTTTTTTTTGAGACAGGTTATCTCAAGTTTATCTAGGCTTGAATTTGCAATTTTTCTGCCTCAGCTTCCTAAAGTGCTTGAATTGTAGGAATATGCCACCATACCTGATTATGTCAGGCTATTTTTATTAAGTGGCTTAAGAATATTTAAGACAGAAGCAAGGGCTGGAGAAATGACTCAATGGTTAGGCGCACTTGCTGTTCTTGCAGGGTTCCCAAGTTTAGCAACCCAATCAGGCAACCCACACTTGTAACTCCAGCTTCAGGGAACCCGATGCCCCCTTCCAGTCTCTGTAGATAGCCACATGCATGGTGAACACCCACATAGACACACACACATAAATACACATACATTTTAAAAAGATGGGAGGCAAGAGAAAAACAAGGGGTACCTGAGAACTTCGAGAAGTTTCGGACCGGCATGATACGCTGGCGACTCTTTCCCTCCGTTTCATTGTCATAAATTAAGATGATAGCTGGGGGCTGGAACCTAACTCCGCATTTCTTGGCAATGTATTTCATTTTCACATATAATTCAGGGTAAACTGGAGGAAAGCTGATAAAAATGTTTAGTTCCAGGAAAGAGAAAACTGAATGGAACTAGGCACTGAATAAAGCTGCTTTTTTCCTTCTCCTCTTCAGCAGATCTTAGCCCCAGAATTGTACACTCAGCTAATGAAGTTCAAGACTTTGAGGACCAGCCGGGCGTTGGTGGCGAATGCCTTTAATCCCAGCACTCAGGAGGCAGAGGCAGACGGATCTCTGTGAGTTCGAGACCAGCCTGGTCTACTGAGTGAGTTCCAGGTCAGCCTCCAAAACAATACAGAGAAACCCTGTCTCGAACCCCCCCCCAAAAAAGGCTTTGAGGACCACCTGGACAGTGCAGCTGACCAGGCTAGCCTCAGTTGTTGGATCTCTGCATCTCGGCTTGGTTAGAATGTCAGTTGTTCGTGAGTGTGGACTCCTTAGTGTACTACATTCTTTTTTTTTGTTTTGTTTTGTTTTTTTGTTTTTGTTTTTTCGAGACAGGGTTTCTTCTCTGTATTTGTTGGGAGGCTGTCCTGGAACTTGCTCTACACCAGACTGGCCTCGAACTCACAGAGATCTGCCTGCCTCTCTGCCTCTGCCTCCTTAGTGCTGGGATTAAAGGAGTGAGCCACCGACGCCTGGCAAGTGCACTACGTTCTTACCAGAGATCACATACAAACCTCAAGCAAGTTCAAGAACTGGCCTACTGCCCTACAGAACCATTTTGATTTTTCAGTTAAAGGATGTCTGAATCACCCTCTATCAGTAGCAAGGTATTATGGTCTTTTTAAACATTTTCCTACTTTGAGTCAGCGTCTCATGTAGCCCAGATTGGCTTTGGACTTGTTATGCAGTGGAGGATGACCTTGAACTTCCCCAGTGTTGGAATTACAGGCATGTGCTAGCAAGCTTGGTCTATGGGGAACTCCAGAGGGAACCCAGGGCTTCGTGTACACCAGGCAAGCACTCTGCCGGCTACGTTACATCCCAGCACTCAGTATAAATAAGCATTTTATACTGAGAGGTTCACTAGACCAGATCTACCCCTTATAGTTTCTGAATTATTTTACTCGTCAAGAGATTATTTTTAAAGTCATTACTTACCAACTATCTTCCCTGTTAGTCTACTTGCTCTAGGAAGGTAAGAAGTGTGTCCATTTCATCATGCCCTTAGCACATGTCTGGAATATAATGAAGGTAGTATTTGTTTAATGTTGTGTATTAGTAACTGTTGCTAGAACTGTTAGTTTTGTGTTGCAGCTTCTTTCTGTGAGTGATTCAGACCATGTAGGGCAGTGGTTTCCCAGGTCCTTCTCTTACACCTAGCAGCTGGGGTGGGGAACTGTCAGCTGAGCAGCCCCTTTACTCACAACTGGACAGACTCACATTTCTTTCTTTCCTTTCCTGCTTCTCTGAGGGCACTGTAGAACCACGGCTGAAGACCGCCATCATGAGCACCCCGCCAGCCTGCACATGCCTTCGAAAACTCACACCAGGCACAAGCCTCACCGAGAGCTAGTAATCTTAAGTTCGCCCAAGCCAGAGGGGTAGCAATCCTGGTGCCTCAGCAGGTCTGTGATGCAGATCAGGCTGGAGAGATGACTCAGAGATTAAGAGCACTGGCTGTTCTTTCAGAGGTCCTGAGTTCAAATCCCAGCACCCACATGGTGTTTACAGCCATTCATAATGAGATCTGGTGTATACAAAATAAATAAATCTTTGAAAAAAAAAAGAAATCAAGCTGAGCAAGGAAAATACAAAATGTACAGTTCAAGGAGAAAAGAGGTACCAGGAAATGGAGCTAAATCCTGTGTTCGAGGAGATACACAGATTAAAGTCTGATAGTTAATGGAATAAAGGGAGTGGTGACCTCAGGGCAAGATCCCACCCAGCTAAGCTTCTAATTTGTGAAAAGGAATTAAAGAAAAGCTCAGAGTCAGCGTGGTGTAATCCCAACACTCCAGAGGCAGAGGCAGGCCCATCTTTGAGTTTGTGGCCCTTCTGGTCTACAGAGTGAGAGCCAGGACAGCCACTCAAAACCAGAAAGCTGGTGAAGATGTAATTGAACGAGGGAGCCATGTTCCAACCCCAGCAAGCAGTAGAGCTTGGCAGGTTCAGCCATGAGGTTCTGGCTTTAGAGTCAAGGATAGAAGAAGGGGAGTCCCCTCCCACAGGACTAAGGAAAGCCACCGAGGCCACACATGTGTCAAGAGTGTCCCTGAATGGAGGACCTACAGAGGCCATTGTATGGAGCTGTGAAGGTAAAGCTTTGTGTTGGAAACCCCAAGATGTTGGAGATGCCAGAGTCATCAGACACCAGGCCAGGAAAGCTGCTCACAGGAAGTGGAACCAGCCCAAGAGAAAGAAGTGGGCTGCAGTCAACAAAGCTGAAAGGAGTTGGAGATCTGAAGAGAGTTTTGACATCAGACATGGAGATGCAAAGTTTGGAGTTTGCCCAGCTGGCTTTTGGTCTTGCTTTGGTCTAATATTTCCTTGCTATGCTCCCTTCCCGATGTTTTGGAATGGTGATGTATATCCTGTGCCATTATATGTTGGAAGTATGTGATTTATTTTTGATTTCGATTTCATAGGGGATTATAGTTAAGAGAGTGCATGAATCTCAGAAGAGACCTTTTAAACACTGTTGAGACTGATAAACTAAGGCGACTATTGAAGTTAGACTAAATGAATTTTCCTTATGCTATGGCTCCAAGCCTATGGGGGCCAGGGAATGGAATGTGGTGATTTGAACAGGAATGGCCCCATAGACTCATGTGTTTGAATGCTTGGCCCAGAGGGAGTGGCACTTTTAGGAGGTGTGGCCTTGTGGGAGTGGCTGAGCATTGTTGGAGGAAGTGTCACAGATCTCTTCCTGCTGCCTGCAGCGATGTAGAACTCTCAGCTACCTCTCCATCACCATGTCTGCCTGCACACCACCATGTCCAGCCCTGATGATAATAGGCTGAACCCCTGAACTGAACTGTAAGCCAGACCCAGTGAAATGTTTTCTTTATAAGAGTTGCTGTGGCCATGGTGTCTCTGCACAGCATCAGAAACCCCAACTAACAGTAACTAAAGCAGAGGCAGCAGAAGCTGTGAGGCCTAGGTGCTGAAGAGTTCAGGGAGTTTCCAGGTCTTGAGGCTTAGGGTTCTCATGGCTTAGGCCCAACAGCAATAATACCAGTCACTGTAGGAGTGAAGACTCTCAGAGCCCCAGGAGCTGTAACTTAGTTCTGCTGAAGAACAACTACAGGCCCATTGTTTAAGAAATTGATAGTAGCCCCTCCCCCCAAAAACCAACACCCAGGCATTGGTGGCGTATGCACTCGGTCCCAGCACTCGGGAGGCAGAGGCAGGTGGATCTCTGTGAGTTCGAGGCCAGCCTGGTCTACAGATCCAGTTCCAGGACAGCCTCCAAAACAACACAGAGAAACCCTATCTCAAAAACAAAGAAAGAAATTGATAGTATTTATATTTCATTATAAAAATTAGAAAAATAGGGACAAAAGAGAGAGGAAGAAAACATAAAATACTCCCCTAATTTCCATTCCTTTTTATCTAGCTATATGTACATATACTACAGTATATTTAAATGTCATATGAATTACAAATGCAAATTTTATGGTTGCCAAGTAGATTTGTCATATAGGACCATAATCTGTATTCTCACCCCTACTGTTAGATGTGAGAATTTTTACTCTTATGAGGTTGATCATAATAAAGAGCTGCTTTTCGTATTGCTATGCTCTGCCTTTGATCTGAGTCAATGACCAGATACTCCTGCCAGTTCACCTCACGAAAGTATGATGCTAGTGTACTTTCTAAAAAATACCACTAAACACACTATATGGCCTACAAACACAAACAAATGACCACACTTGTGAATAGAATTGACAATAATGTAGGGTTTTGACTGTAGAGTTTTCTTTTTTAAAATTTTTATTGTTGTTGTTTTGTTTTTTTAAGACAAGGTTTCTTAATGTAACTGACCTGGGACTAACTTTGTAGACCAGACTGGCCTCAAACTCAGATACCCACCTACCTCTGCCTCCTGAGTGCTGAGATTAATGGCAGCCCGGCTTTTGGGGGGGAGGCTCTCTTTCTCTCTCTGTCTCTGTCTCTCTCTTTCTCCCTCCCTCCCCACCCCTCTCGTTTCCTTTTTTTTTTTAAAAGGTTTTTCTGTGTGATAGCCCCAGCTGTCCTGGAACTTGCTCTGTAAACCAGGCTGTCCTTGAACTCACAGAGATTCACCTGCCTCTGCCTCCCGAGCGCTGGAATTAAAGGTGTGCATCACCACATGTGGCTGTCCATATTTCTTAACAGCTTGCTTGCAGTGTTATATTACACCCTCTTCCCACCTGGAGACCTCATGGCTGGTCAGCACCAGCACTCTTCACAACTGCTAACATGTTCCAAAGAGCAGGGAGGAGTGAAAGCACGATTACCTAACTGTTCTTGAACGACATACTTTTCTTCCCAGGGATCCTAAGAGGGTACGGATTTCCCATCTCTACTGATGCCCTCACTAGGGCAAGGCGACCCTTCTTACCCTTGAAGAAGTACAGGAAGTGCACATCTGACCAGCAGCGAGAGGGTTGTTTCCATCCAACCGCATTGCACACAGGACTTATATCATCTTTGAGGCGAAGTGGAGCCTGACGCTGCAGGAAGAGGCGACAGCCATAACTTGCAGGGGCAACCACGGGGTGAGTTCAGAGGCAGGTGGCCCAGCCCGCACGCAGACCGCAACGCACGCAGACCGCAAGCGACGGGAAGCTGGCCTGAGCGCGGCGAGTACTGCACTTGGTCCAGAGGCTTGCCGGGCGCCCGCCTAGGGTGGTTTCCAAGGCAACAGCGCGGGCACGCGGACTGCGCTTGCGCAGCTTTTCGCCCCGCCCCAGCTGGGATGGCAAGGGGCGGCACCAAAAGCGCGACTCTCGGGGACCTAGAGTTCGCGGGACTCAGCTACCCAGTGCGAACGCTCTGTGGGTCCGAGGGCGTGTGCGCGCGGAGCGCTCCGTCCCAGTCACCCGGCCGGTGGGAGTGCGCGCGGCGGCGTGCGCAGCCCCCTTCCGCGACCGCAGCTCGTCCCGCGCGCCCCTTTCGGGCGTCGGCGCTCCGGCGTCCTGGCTGCCGGCGCTGTGGCCTGGCTGCTCCTCTGGGCGGCTGGGCTGGTCGGCTGGCTCGCCGCGGACTTCAGCGACGCCCGCTTCAGCTCAGGTAAAGGGCCGGGGGCTGAGGGAGTGCGCGCGGAGCCGGAGCGGAGGTGGGGAGCACCCGCGGCCCCTCAGCTCCGCGGTTTGCCGAGGTGTTACGTGTACCAGGGGCGGGAGGAGGTTAGCAACAAAGGCCGCGTGCGTCCCTTCCCTCCCTGCGACCTTTGCTCGGTGATCTGTCTCGGACATCGGAGCCGGGCTTTGGCTTTCTGAGTCGAGACTGGCCACACTGTGACAGCTGCGGAGCATCTTGGGATGCTTATGGTACCCCCGAAGCTGCTTTCTGCTGCCCGAGAGGCCGGGGAACCCTTCGCGTCCCGGACAGTGTGAAAATGGCCACAGCTTGTAGAGAGGTGGTGTGTTGGTGTGTTTCGTGACCGACTTCCAGGGAGATGCAAAACTCTCTCTCTCTCTCTCTCTCTCTCTCTCTCTCTCTCTCTCTCTCTCTCTCTCTCTCTCTCTCTCTCTCTCTCTCCCCCTCCCTTCCCTCTGACTCTTTCCCCCCTCTCTCCCTCCCATCTCCCTCTCTCCCCTTCTCACCCCAGAAAGGTAACTTTTGTACTAGTGTCCAATTTGATAAACCAATGAATTTTTTATTTGGGTTACTAGTAGGAATGTGAGTGAGGAGTTACTTGCAGGAAGCAGGGATAACTCAAAAGAAACTACATCACTAAAAACCACCCCGACAAGGGTGACCCCGGAAACTGCAATCCTGGAGCCCACTATGCAGCTTGCAGGCCCAATATCTGTCTGTCTGTTTGTTTTCCCCATCTCTCTCTCTGCAGTTTGTGCCCAGCAACTGTTGACTCCCTTTTTATACTGTTGGTAAGGACCCTCAGGAGCCTTGCAAGTGTTTATTCTCCTTACTACACATGCTTTCTTCAAGCTACTGAGTAACAGGGTTATGTAATGCTTCACTCTGGTTTAATAGTCTTCCCACACGTTTCTAGCCAAAGTTTTATAGCAAGGTGTCTGGCAACTGAACATGTAGTGTTTTTTTTTTTTTTTTTTTTTTTTTTTGAGACAGAGTCTCGCTGTGTCGCCCTGGCTGTCTTGACACTTAGTATGTCGACCAGGCTGAATGCTGGGACCAAAGGTGTGTGCCACCTCACCAGTCTTGAAGTTTTAGCGGTTGAATAGAAGCTGGATAGATGGCTCAGCCGCTAAAGGCTAGACTCACAATTAAATATAGAAGAGTAATAGTTTTAGTGTCCAAAATTTGCCTGGAATCAGTTTATGACGATTCCTGTTTATCCCAAGTTTGTAAATGAACTCTGAATCTTCAGGTGCCTCTCATGTTCTTGCTTTTTTTTTTTTTTGCTTTTTTAACTCTGCAACATCTTCACAAGGCATGAATGTATAATCCTCCAACATTCGTAGGCATGGACATAAGAATACAGAAGTTGCCGTTATGTCTCTAATAAGGTTCGGTGAGTTAGGATGATTTCTTAGGATTGTAATGACAAAGTCTTTCGTGTATGGTGGCTCTGTTCTGACTGATTCTATACATTAAATGACTAGGACAACCACAGAGAGGAACTGTAACTCAAAGTAATGAACTAGGATCTGAAACCAGACAAGTCAACTCCAGTGGCTTATTCTCAACCTCCATGATGTACTCCTGGAAGTAGACTTATGTGTAGCTCATTCTGCTTTCATTTGAAAATTTTACTTTGCTGTTAGATGGTTAGATTTTTCTAGCAAGTAAAGCTTATTCTAGTAGTTATTTTCTATTTAATATTCATTTAATATGCATATTTTCTTTTTGAACATCTTGATTTTTATAGGTATAAGGGCCACTTGTTCTGAAATCATTTTGAGGCAAGAATTTTTGAAAGATGGTTTCCACAGGTGAGTTGCCCATTGATTTATACTTATATATTAAAATACTGGCTCATAATTTGCAGCAAAAAATTATTAGTTGAAATATGGATGAACTGAAAAATTGTTTCTATTTTTTGTTTGTTTTGAGACAAGGTCTCTTATGGTCTAGACTGGCCTCAAATTTGCTGTGTAGTTTGGGATAACCTCAAACTCCTTATCTTCCTGTTCATTCAAGTGCTGGGATTACAGGTGTGTTCACACACCACCAAGCCTGTCTGTCTGTCTGTCTGTCTTCCTTCCTTCCTTTTTTTTCTTTTGAGACAGGGTTTCTCTATGTAGCCCTGGCTGTCCTGGTGTTCATTCTGTAGACCATGTTTGCCTCAAAACTCAGAGATGCACCTGCCTCTGCTTCCTGATGCTGGGATTAAAGACTTGCATGACTATCTTTTTCTTTCTTGAGACACAGTATTGCTGAATGGCTCACATTGGCTTGGAACTTAAGGTGATCCTCCTGACTCAGCCTTCCAACTGCTAGAATTACAGATGTGTACCATGATTTCTGGCTTATTTTGCTTTTATTTTTATTACTAATTATCTTGAAAAATCACTTCAGCATTTTGTTTATGAGAAAATGCATTTTGTTGGTTTGATTTTTGCTTTGCTCCTGGATAGCTGACTCTAGACTGATAAGTCCTTTCTCTTTGGCTTACCCTTGTCTTTGCTGTTCTCTATATTGTAGCTCTTTTGCGGTGATAGATAGCCTTTTTCTCCAGTGACTGTACAGGAACATGTCTTGGTGTGGTTTTGTTTATGTATTCCATGCTTGAACTTCATGGATTTATAGAATCATAGTTTTCATGAAATCTGGACAATTTTTGGCCTTTGTATCCTTCCCTGTCTTTCCCAAGTGCCATTTAAACAGTTCCTAGATTGTGCCCTTTATTTTGAGTTCACTGCTTTAATTCCTTCTTCCCTGCCAGTTTTTTTTTTTTTTTTACTTTTTGTTTATTTATTTTTCTTCTTTTTTTTTTTTTCCTTCAAGACAGGGTTTCTCTGTATTGTTTTGGAGGCTGTCCTGGAACTTACTCTGAGACCAGGCTGGCCTCGAACTCACAGAGATCCACCTGCCTCTGCCTCCTGAGTGCTGGGATTAAAGGTGTGGACCACCAACATCCAGCTATTTTTCTTCTTCTTATGCTCCAGTTTTCATGGTTTTCTTTAGCTGTCTCCAAGTCATTGGTCTTTTATTATTCAATATATAATTGCTTTTAATCATACATTTAAATTTTTTATTTTTATATATTTTGAAGTTACAGTCAATTCTTTAAAAATTAAAAACAAAGTTGGGCTGTTAAATGGCTTTGTGGGTGAAGGTACTTGCCACCAACGCTAAGCCTGATGACCTGAGCTGGAGCCCCAGGACAAGCATGGTGGGAGGAGAGAACTGACTCCCACAAGTTGTCCTCTGACCTCCACATGTGAATCATGGCAAGTGCATGCCCACACATGTATACACATAGAAAATAATTATTAAAGACACTTCCCTTTCCCTCATAATGTTCTTGTTTATCTTTAAATCCCTTGACATATTAGGTATATTTATAAACACTTTAAATTTTTTATTAGATTTACTCATTTATTTTATGATGTTTTGCCTGCATATATGTATGTGTATGTACCACATGCATGCTTGATGCCCATGGAGGTCAGAGGATGGCTTTGAATTCCCTGGAATTGGAGTCACAGACAGTTGTGAACCACCATGTGGGTGCTGGGAATCAAACCCAGGTCTTCTGTAGGAGCAACAAGAGCTGTTAATTTCTGAGCCAACTCTCCAGGTCCTTATAAAGACTTTTAATGCCCGCCTGCCATTCCATTTCTTTTTTAACTTAACGAAAAAAGGTTTGTTTAGGCTCCTTATTCTGGAGACACAAGGTTTAAGTATGTCTTAAGTTAGGGTTTCTAGTGCTGTGATTAAACACTTGAACCAAAAGCAACATGGTAAGGAAAGGGTTTAAGTCATCTTAGAAGTCTCAGGTCACACTCCATCACTGAGGGAAGTCAGGGCAGGAACTCAGAAGCAGACTTGCCTATAGGCTAATCTGATGGAGGCATTTTCTCAATTGAAGTTTCCTCCTCCCATATGGCTCTAGCTTGTGTTAAGTTGACCAAAACAAACAAACAAGCAAACAAACAAACAAAAAAACCTAACCAGCCCAAGAGGCCACGCCTGGCAGTGGCTCTCTTGGGAGCCCCATGTAAAGGTAGCACTGGACACCATGGGATGCCATGACAGAAAGCAGTAGGTCCATGCGGTTTCTTTCTGTCCACTGGTATTTTCCTGGTGGTTACTCATTTATTCTTGACTCCTGACATGTGTGTGAGAACATTTTGAACTGAACCCTGTCAAAAGCTTTGATATTTGTAGACCTTGTTTTCTTCCTTGTAAAGACTGCAAGGCTCTTCTCCCTGTCAGTAAAGGTTTTAATTTATCAGCTTGATCCTGTAAATTTTTGTTTAGTTATAAAGTTACATGGGGCTAATTCATCTCAGACTTTACCCTTTTGGGGCGTCTGTCCTGAATGCTCTGTTTTATGTTTTGATTGGTCAGAACTCAATGCTTTCTGATGGTTCATGAAATTTTGGAATGTTTTGCTTTTCATCTCCTTGGTCACTTTTTTGTGCAGTCTTCTGGGCTGCTTATTTAGACTTATCTTAGCCTTCAGCAAAAACAAGGAATTTCTAGTTGGATTTTTTTGAACTTTAAAAAATTATTTTATTCTTCTCTCATATCATACATCCCAACTGCAGACC